TCCCAAAAAAGTTATTACTTAGTAATCAGTTGTATGAATTCTCAGAATTTCTGAAATTTCTAGAATTCGAGAAATTCAAAAAAAAGTAAGAAAAATTAGAATAGTAAGAAAAAGCAGAATAATGAAAAAAATTAGAAAAGCTAGAAAAATCAGAATTTGCATTATTCCTGTATAAGTAAAAATAATTATATAAATAGAGGTTTTTTTTAGAAATAAAACTAGCTTTTTGAGAGTTTAAAGAAATTCGAGTACTTAACTTTGTGAAACTCTTAGAGTTCAAAAGTCTTAGTTAGAGTTTGATATTAGGAAAGTATTGCTTTATTAATTCTCTACCTCTCTGATAAGTCAAATCCATAATTATGAAAAGAACTTGTAACCAAATCTTATGATTCTGAATAAAAAGATTCGTGATATAATCAAGAGCTCTAATCTGACACTATCGCTAAGAACCTAATTCATCTTGATTACTCAAATCAAGTTTTTTTACACCTTAATTATTGCTTTACCACTACTGGGGTTTGGTTGTATTAGTTTTGGTATTCTCGTTAGAGTAGTAGTGTATAGTTGTATTATCCAAACCAGTTTATCTTTTTTCTTTTACAACGTATTGAAATTTATTTAGCCTTTTATAGATATTTTTACAATAATCTTTATAAGTATCTTGTTAGTTGCAGATATTTTTAAGAGTTAATACATAATCGCATATAATTGTTTTTGGGAAGTTTTATTACTATTCACTTTCTCTTGGATAAGGGCTAATTATGTTGTTCCACCCTGCCTATTTTAAAAAACCTGATTGGCTAGTAATTATATAAACAGATTTTAAAATAAAATACTATACTAATTCATTTACCTATTAGAGTATCCAAAATTTTGCAGTACATAAATTGCTTGCTTTAAAATCGACACAATATAAAAAATTCTTTTTAGTATGAGCAGGTATATGCATTATGAATCATTCAGGGCAAGTGCAGTAGGACCGTGAGCAATTTATGTAGGGTAAGAGTTTTAAAAAATTACTAAAAATAGAAGAATCTGCACAAAAATGGTCAAAAATAAGCATATATCTTACTTAAAATAGAAAAGATCTGCAAAAAGACAGTCAAAAATAAGCAAATTATATTCTTATCTCTACATAGATTACTCTGAGTCCTAGTGCAGTAATATAAATAAATCAATAACAATAAGCAAATAAATAAATAAATAGAAACAATTGGGGGTTCGGGTCCTATAGCTTAATGGATAAGCTCCCGTCCCCCCACAGACAAAATCGACAGTTCAAGTTTGGCTGGAGGTAAATACTCTGTAACCTAAAAAGGAGTCTATAATCATACGCAAAGCTCTGTGGAAGTTCAAGTGAAGGTACATGTCTGGTTTAAGGAATTCCCAGAAGGAAACTGGTACGGCAGAGTGCTGGCACTACTATAGTGAGAAATGTAGAGAATATCATCGACGTTTGTAGAAAGGATTGGCCTTACCTAATATGAAATCACCTTTGGCGCAAGAAAATCCGGATAAGGTGTGGTTGTGGGAACTACCTTCTTCGGTAGAATTTACCTCATGGATAAAGTAGTCCAAAGGTCGGACTAAGTACCTAACATTAAAGATCACGCGAGCAAAATAACATTGAAGATCAGAGAGTTTAAATAGGGGACTCACAAGCGGGTCTTAGGTATGGCAATAAGCAGGGAACCTACGGGCGAAACTCTTAAATAGACAATGACTAAAGTTGTACGTGTGGCTTATTGTACCCTCGTTGATATGTTACTGTAAACCCTTTCATAAAATACAGACTGTAGATACTTTAATAATAAAGGGAAACCTCCAACCAATAAGGTTATTCTATAAACCGTAAAAAAAAAAAAAAAAAAACAATTGGGTCTTTCACAACAAATCAAAATATAGAACTGAATTTTTTATATATATTAATGCTTTAATAGATGATTCACCAGTCACCTGATAAATGATCTTAGTGTAATGTGATGTGGATCACTATGTAAATTACATAAGCAGGAAATGCCAGGATTTTTTGACAATTAATCAAATAAATTTTTTTTCGTATTAAGTTAACAACCAAGATCAATTAATTGAAAGTTGTAGAGCTCACTGAGACGCATCTAAAGGTGGTAAGATCATCCAAATCGGTCTAGTGGTTGTTGAGATATCGTCGAAAAATGATTGGCTAACTATATAAAATTACTATGTAAACAATATAGTAATTTTATATAGTTGGCCATTCGTTTTGATGATATCTCAACAACCACTAGACCGATTTGGATGATCTTACCACCTTTAGATGCATCTCAGTGAGCTCTACAACTTTCAATTAATCGACCTTGATTGTTAACTTAGTATGAAAAAAGTTTTATTTGATTAATTGTTAAAAAATTCTAGCATTTCCTGCTTATGTAATTTACATAGTGATCTGCATCACATTACACTAAGATCATTCATCAGGTGACTGGTGAATCATCTATTAATCATTTAACTTTTATATATATCAACATATCATTTTTAACTGTACAAGAAACTATATAAAATTGTAATATTTTAATGTTTACCAAAGTTGTTTGCAACGGATAAGGCATGTACTTGAAAATATACCGATTTGCTATGAACAAACTCAATTTATATGTTTTTTTCATTATTATAACAATAAAGTCTTCAATAAAGCAATAACAATTGTTCAAAAAGTTATTATTGAAATTACAATAGTGATTAGTTTAACAAAAAAAAATTAAATGTATCCTTAAGCTCTATTGTAAATAACTAGCTATACTGGATATTTTATAGCAAAAATAGCTAGCAAATTTAGGAATATAATTATATTTTTCTTCTGCAAGTTCTTCATCTATCATTTCAGTGAGTTCTTCGGTTATCGTCTAAAAAATATGCATATAATTACTCATTTAGTTCAAAAACAAAGGTAAAATCACATACTTAGAGCAAAAGTAGCAATTTTTGCATCTTAGTGCAAGACAATTGTTGCTAGCTATTTTGCTAAAAAATAGCATGCTACAAAAATCTAAGGTTTTTGCACAAAATATTTGATATTCAAACTATTAAACATTTTAGAACTCTTTAGTATAGTTATGCAAGGTTCTTCGAATACCAATCATATCTACACCACATTGCTCAAGTTCTTTGTCTGATAATTTACTTAGATGCTTTACTAAGATCTGTTGCAACTTGAATTCATTCAAAAAATTCTGATAATAATAGTTTGTTTGCTTTTTTTCATCTATCTTTTTTAAAAAATCAGCAATAGTTGGTAAAGTATTTGACTTATATTAACTAGCTTGAAATGAAAATAAAACAAACTGTGCTAGTATGTGGTACGAATTGAATAGCATTATCGATAGTGTATAATAAGAGGTAAATGGTGTCAAAAATAGTTGAAATATTGAAGAGCCAAAAGTACTTTGTGGTAACATTTGCGATAATGGAACAGATAGTACTTGGGATAAAGATGTTTGTAGCGGAAAAGGTATTTGTAGTAGCAAAGATGCTTGTGGCAGTAAAGATGCTTGTAGCAGCAAAGGTTCTTGTGGTGGCAAAGGTTCTT